CGCATAATCATAATCAGATATTGATAATTTTGAAAAAATCAGTTCGATTTTTTTTAAACTTTGCTATGAATCGCGAATTCAATACTCAAAACACTGCAGTTGTTTGCCTTTAGAATTTCGAACTTAGTCTAAAATCATGAACAGAGTAAAGAAAAAAACAACACATTAAATAGATAAAATTTTTCTTTATTTGTTAACAAAAGAGATGCTTAAGTCTTTCGAGGAGTGTTTTGAGAACCTAATTTTGTTATTAAGTTTTTATTGATATTCATCACGCTCATAGTGGCCTTTTACTTTTAAACCCTGTGTGCATTGCTTGCCCTTTGCCTTTGCCATAAGTGACATTTTTATCACACGAATGCCCGATTCTAGAATAATTTCTTTTGCTGCTTTATCAGCAACAACTAAAAAATAAAAATCTAAAACACAAATTAAAGTTCTTAGGAAAATATTTTGAATTCTCAATAATTTAGTTTTTATTAAAAAAAACTGCAAACAAAAAATTTTAGCAAAATAAATTTACAACTATAAATATTTACATATAAATTTGCTTGGAAAGCATTTCTTTAGTCATTTATTACATTTTCTTTTATTTTTTAATATAATATTTAGTTTTAGAAAATTATGTTACTAACTTCTACCAAAGACGTAAAACGAATCAAAGATGATTATTACAACGCGTTTGTAGCTTTGTGTCGCCCAAAAAATTGGCGTTAAAATCAAAATTTATTTAATACGTATGTTTGTGAAATTGTGAGGTAGGCAAAAAAAATCAGTTATATTGAAAAAACCCTTGAACATACGCTTTAATCGTAACACTAAGTTAACTAATATTTGTATGTATTTAATACAAAAACAATTGTTCTTCAGTCATTGTTTGTACAATGAAACTGTACTTGCTAATTTTTAAGTTAGCCACGAGTCTTTTATAAGAATGTAACTAATACTAAGTCATCATGAACCAGTGTGTGCGAGGTTTTGCATTAAAATTAACAAAAAAAAAAAAAAAAAAAAAAAAAAAAAAAAAAAAAAANAAAAATTGAACAAAAATAAAAATAATTAAACAAATGGAAATGAAGAATAAACTTTTTTAATATTGAACGTCAAAACAAACAAACAAATTTAATTTTAATTCGATGGCGGTAACTACACATGCAATGATTAGCAAAAACAACAATAACCACAGCTAAAACAGAAACCGGGCACATGTTGACAAGTGAAATTGAGCTTAACTTTTTCCTATGAAAAGACTTTCTGTATTTAGTAGTGGTCTGTAGCGTAGTAGTATTTTAGTAGAATTGAATATCTTTTATTTATCTTATCATAGTCGTTTTTAGAAAATACAAATATTTAGTGCCATTTTTGGAATACATTAATGCTCATATTTAACGATATTGAATTTATTTAAAGCATAATTAAATCAATCTTGGATAAATTCAGATCCACTTAAGCTTTTAATATTTATCTATGTGCTTTTCTTATGCTGCCTTTGGAAAACAAATTGGAAAACGAAAATATCAGGAAAATACAATTTCCGCTCAATGCCTGTCAGCTAAGACTTTTTTCACTCTTTTTTTCTTTGTGTTAATATGCGGAAAAATTCAAAATTACTTGATATTCTTGAGTGTTCAAAAACTTCAGCTTATTATCCATGAAATATTGCACAATACATCAAAGTTTTTAAGCATTCACAATCATATTTTTGGAATATGCTTAAAAAGCTTAAAATTTAATAAGTTTTTAAGTTTCGAAAAACCTATATTTAAATAACTAATTTTTCAAAATTTTCGCAACATTTTTTCCCATTGAATTTTTATGTTTTAAAAAATAGTTTCCTTTGAATTCCATTCTGGTTTCATGGAAACTCAATATTTTTAAATTTCAAAAAATCATATAATTCACGAAATATGGTCGTAAGCTTTTATAGAATCATTTCTGAAACATAAATTAAAAAAAAAATTAAAAAGTTATTCAACAGTTTTAAATTTTCAAAATCGGTTATTTTCAAAAATCGTTTGTGGTGTTTTTAAATTTTTAAGTTAAATTTTTTATCCGCGCCTGATATGCAACATTTTCTGAACTTTTTCGCTTAATTTGCCTTTTTGTTATTAAACCGTTGTAGTCTTAGAGAGTTGTGTATGCTGCATTTGGAGTTGAAATTATTTTGTCTGCGTCTACATTTATACTCATATTTAATTAGAATTGTTTGGAAATAAAAAAAAAACAAAAATTGGTACGACTCGTTCAGAAAGTTTGCACAGAATGAAATTATTTCCCTATGTATGTTTGTAGTTGAGCTTTAGAATCCACATTCAATCAATCTATAAATCACAGCTAGCGATAGCATACCACAATATTCTATGTTTCTTTCTTTTCTTTTACCACAACGTACACAACAACAACAACATCACCACCATCACAACAACAATCCCCACCCCATTATCTACTTATCTGCAAACAACAACAACAACAACAACAACAACAATCAATCAATCAATCAAAATTTGCTTCCACCAATATCTCAATCAACCCATGCAGGCTTGGAAAACGAGGATATGACACCGACGCTGCGTCAATTGTGGACAGCCATACGCCAGATGCAACAGGAAATGTCTCAGATGAAATTGCAAATGAATGAGGAGCGTGCGTTGCGTGCCAGCTTGCAACAACTGCTGATGCAACACTTGGAAGCGGGCAGCGCGAATAGCACGACGCCAAAATGTTGACTATGCAAGTGGGAAAGTTAAGACGTTGGACCAGTGCGGAGCGTAAGAGTGATCTGGTGTACAAACGGACGAGTGCTGCAGTGGCATCATCATTTATTGGACATTTTGTTGCAATTATTCTTTCCAAAAAAAAAAAAGAGCAATTTCTGTATTTCTATTCTTATTTAATGCGATCTTATGTTTATGTGTAGTTACATGCATACATGCATACTTATCTAGAATGTGTCATATTTACCGTTCACACCTTTAGTTTTTATAAATTTAGTTACTAAGCACAACACAAACATATTTTTTATTAGTTTAGTTACATAAGTTTTGAATAAAAGTGAACCGCTATATAGATCATTGTTATGTAGATATATAGAGTAAGTCATTCATTGCATACACAGTTTGAGATTATTGAAAAACTCAATTCCAAATGAAATAGATTGGTCAAATCCCTTCATTTAAGCAGTGCGCCTAAAAGCATACTACGGTATTTTTTATTTCATTTATATATTTACATCAAACTGTAGCTATCAGTGGCTCCATACAAACTTAAGAGTGAAACAGTGAAAATGATCACTTTCGACGAAAAAGAGCTTTCTTCTTTTAAAATATTTTTTTAGAAATTTTAAACAGAAATGTCGAGAAATCCTAATTCGATTTAAATAAGCTATTTCGAATAGATCCGACGCATTAAAACGCTTTGGTATGAGTGTAGTGCCAAAGTTGTAGAATGTTGGTCAGTGTTTTTAATTATTTTTTTTTTTTGCCAAAATTAATTGGCGGTTGTGAAGTTTAAAAACCATCACCTGAGTTTATTAAGCATTTTAGAGTGTAGGTTAAAGCAAGTTGTTTAGTATTGCGAAGCTATTGGTTCGGTTCTTACAGCACTTTAATAGCTAAACATTTTAGTTGAAAATTTTTTATGATTCAAAGTGTCATTTAAATTATATTAATATTTAAACTGTTAATAAATTTGAGAGCATGGCGTTTATATTTGAAGTGTACAGAAGTTGCTTCTCTTATATTAATCATTACTAAACTCGAGGAAAATTAAACAATCAATTATTTCAACAGATGCACAAACAAATATACCAGTCATTTTAAATTATACGAGAATATTTTATACATCATGCATATATAAGTATATATAAGTGAGAAGAACCAATTTCTAATAATCAAACGTACATAAATACAAGGAAAGCAACAACGACAGTAGTTTTATAACAATAGATGGCAGTCTGTAATATTAAAAAAACAAATATAATTACAATGAAACACTAAAAATCAAAGTAAGGTAATAAACGAAATTGCCGATGGTGTAAGTTGGAAGATTTTATTTTTTTACTAGATCGAAAAAAATTTGTCTCATTATTAAATAAAATATTTTTTGATTATTTTTATTAAATTGGAAGCACACAACTAATTGTTTGTATTAATGATAAGAATATAATTATGCACTCGCTTTTGATTATTGTTCATAAATATATAGTATTTTATTAGCGATAAGTGATAAATATGTATGTATTATAGATAACGTTGGTTATATTGCTTCCGAAAAGTGTTCGTAAATGCATAAATACACTGCAAACACAAATTAGTTCTAATAAGTGCTAGTTTAAATGTTAAATATCTATGTACAAACATATGTAAATGAATATGTATGCATAGCTTTGCAATATTATCGAGTATTACGGCGATATATACCATGTACGAGTATATTAGTATTAAGTTGAGAATTTACTCGTATTTGTTGTGCAGTGCTTTGTTGCTATCGTGACTTCGATGTTGTCTATTATTGTCTCAAATGCTCATTAAATGTCTGATTTTTGAATTGTCAATTAGATATATATGCATATATTTTGAAAAAATACAACAAAATAAAATAAAATTTCATTGCAATACGAAAATATTGCTTAACATTACATAATTGTAATAAACATCCGTAAATATGGGTATTAAATATACTGACCAGAAGTGCAGACAAATGCATGAGCAAATAATAAAAACAAATATTTTCTATAAATTTTGAAAAAAAGCGTGTTTTTGTATATTTTAATATTTTTTTATTTTTTAAGTTTTTTTTAACTTTTAATTTATTTTATATTGTCTTCTAGAATTTCCGCTACTCATACATTCATTAATTTTTATGCTCAGGCCTATGTACTGTTATTGGATTTAATGGAATCAAATTGCAAAAATGTAAATTGCCTAACCCCTGATTTCCCCTCTTCTAATTATGGCTTGTAATGTGTGAGGTTGGACTCTTCTTTAAATAAAATGCATAAATTTGAATTGCACTCAAAATTTATTTTTTGTTTTCTACTTATTAAATAACAATAAATAAGATCAAGCACAAAATCATTTTTAAAATGATCAGCACAGAATAATGTATATACAAATGGGCACCAACTCAACTCCTTCTGGAGTCAAATTGTAATTTTTTTTTAAATTTTTAATATTAATTTTTAAATTTTTTTAAATCTCTTTTTTGAATTTTGTTTGATTTTTATCATAAAAAATCTAGTAGTTTTCAGTTGTTCTGACATAGTTGACGCCAGACGGCATCGTTACCTTGTCAAAGCCCTTGGGGAACAACTGCTTAGCTTGTTCATCAGTCACGTCAGGCAGAATCATTACTTTGGTGCCAGGCTGAAAAAAAAAATAAAGATACAAAAAAGTAGTATATAAAAAAAAACACAAAAGAGGTGTTTTATGACACTTACAGTCCAGTTGGCTGGCGTAGCGACAACCTTCAACTTGTCAGTCAATTGCAACGAGTCCAGACAACGGAGAATCTCACTAGAATAATAAATAAAAAACAAATCGTTAATATTTTTTCACTCTTCGCAACAGCAGATTCCACTACTCACTCAACATTGCGTCCCATCGACATGGGATAGAACATCGAAACGCGCACTTTGTGGTCGGGACTAATGATGTACAACGCACGAATGGTTTTGCCGATTTCCGGGTCACGTTTCTGTTCCTCATCCAACATGCCGAAGAGTACAGCCAGATCGCGATGAGGATCGGCAATGATGGGGTAAGGAAATTCTCCGGGAATATCCAGGCAGTAGGACTTGATGTCATTTACCCAGTCCACATGCGATTTCAAGTCATCCACCGAGTGGGCCAGACATTTAGCATTACGCTTGGCGAACTCTGGTTGATGGACGGCAATGCGACCGAGCTCCGTGGTGCAGACGGGTGTGAAATCCGAGGGATGTGAGAAGAGTACGACCCAACTGTAGAGAGAACAGAAATGTATTTGTTTAGAATTTTAATCTCAACTACAGCACAATATTTATTTGACACCAAAAGCGGAGCTTACTAAACATACACGCCGACATATCTATTATCAACTTGTTATCAATGTTTCTTTTAATTTGATTGCACTCAGCAACCAAGTTTTCATTGAACATGTACACATGCACATCTACATATAATATATTGGCATAAATGAGTTTTACAATGAAATTAAAACAAAAACACTTCTCAAAGTCTACTTACGAGTTGCCCTGCCACTCGTAGAAGCTAATGGGACCCTGAGTGGTCTCAGCTTTGAAATTCGGTACTGTAGCGCCCAGACGCATTTTTTATGATTTTTGTTTTGTTTACTTTCAAAGAAGGCGATTCACGCTAAAAAGACACTTTGTCACTGACTGGCGACTACAGCGCACAGCGAAGGCTTTTATACTGTTCGCTGGAGTAGTCTGATCAACTCAGCTTGGCAGCTCGGCTTATTGGGAGACAATCGTTTTGCACTCGCTCCAATAGACGCCTGATAAATGCTCGGCTATGTAGATAATAAATCGAGACACTTATCTATTCTATGGACGGTGGGGAGGAGGCAGACGCCTGCTTTATCAGCTGTTTAGGGTGTTGCCGCTGCTAACTATGTTTATAAAGAGAGTTAATTTCCCAAGAAAACTTGAGAATTACTATACATTTTTAGTAGGTATGTCTATTGTACATTTTGAGGAGAATAAAAACACTAAAATGTTGTCAATATTTTTTTACATTGTACATACACACAGATGTACATACATCCAAAAATAGATTAAATGATAATATTATCACAGCGAGGAAAATAAAAATATATGTTTGGCCATATGTGTAGCCATGAGCGAACGGCCGAACTATAATTTGCATAGGAATAGAGGAAAGACATGTAGATGCGAAAACAACAAAAAAAGCTAATTTCACAACCAACACATTGTGATGCGTAATAATTTCTGATTTAAAACTCTTTTGTCGTGTTAGTTTATAAATATTTAGAATTCATAAAAGGTGGAGAGATAGAGTGTGGGTTAGAGCGTAAATATGTAACCTCGTTGCTATAATAAAAATAACACACCCAACAATTACTCTCCGCCTGCCCAACCGGCACGGAGGGGGGCATCATCCGCTTGACGTATGAATTTGTTTGTTAATTGTCGAGGTCTAAGACTGTTGAGATTCAGAAAGACATATTTGAGTACTTTTTAAGTTTAGAAGTTAATTGTCCAGTGAAACCAAAATATTTTATACAATACAATGCCAAAAACTGAATCTGAAGTGGTTCATTTAAGGGATTGAAATTTGATTCATTAAGAAGTTTGACTGTGAAAAATGTGTCCGAGATTTCTCTATAGGTTGCTCCAAATCCTCTTTACAAGGGATGTAATCGACGAAAGATTTGTGCTGACCGTGCCGTGATGGCTCCACTATTTTTCCGCCTTGGTTTGTTGCACCCTGCGCAATGTTTGGTCTCGGCTACTCTGTTTCCTGATATTTAAGGGTTAGAGAGGGATAAGACCTAAGTAAGGTGGAGCTCCGTTGGATCTCCCAGGTCCATTGTCGGTTACCTATACTAGGCGTTAGTAGAGAAGTCACTGCAGTTGGGGCTTGAACTGCTTGTGAGCACTGTCGAGTATTTATATGGGCCCCTAAGTCTAAAGTCTAAGCAGGCCTTAATATGAATCCAAATATTGCGCACAGTGAAACAAGCCAGAGAGGACACCATGCAACCAGTGGAACAAAAGCAGCCATATTGACCGATATAATTTTTCTCCCCAGAAACGAAGATACTTTAGGCCTTGCTGCTCTCGCTATAAACACCAAAATCTCAGCCTCAACCAAAATTATACATGGCGAAGTAGTACCGGCTTGATCTGAATGTCAAACTCGATAATGTCACGTTTATGGCTGTTTATAACCTAAAGTTACCCAGTGTATCACTCGACAGTCTGTAATTCTTCCTAAGGTCACTAGTCGATAATACCGGGAAAAATACTAAGAAAGGTTTCTTTCAACTTACAAGGCAACCGGCCGACGCCAATTTGGACACCGAAAACTAGCGAAATAATCATTTTGGGCATATTAATGTTAGGAGTTGAACCACACCCCAGCCACACCATGAAGGATGTATTGAAATTTACGCACTCTCTTCAGCAGTACATCTCATCACCCTAACCCCCAATATTTTCACACCCTCGCTCGCATGGAATTACGTCATCGGAATCCAAAAACATGGAGACGAGGCGAGGGGTTGCTCCAGTAGTTTTGTAAGTCAAGCTTGCATCACTTAGGAACTGGCGTTTTTCAGCAGCTCATGGCGTTGTGAAGCATCTAATAAAAACTTTAAGTTTATTACTTCGCTGTTCATCTGAGAATTGCACTTATGCATAGAAGCATGCAAGCATATGCACATACATGTGTACACACGTGCGCAAATCAGGCACGAGCCACCACCAGCAACTCCACTAAAACCTACTCATCAAACATTCCCCTCCCCTACCACATGGTTGCTGCGAACCCAACGAAACGGTTCGTTTTTTAGTGCCCTCGCAAGATCACCACAGGGACGTCCGCCAGAAAGTCTGCTTCTAAGCGAGGTTACCCAGCCGCTCCAATAACATTCATCACTAGTTTTCAAAGCTTGAACCAAATTTTGCCAACGATTTCCTTGAAAATTTCAGCAGCTGCAAACATTTTCAATATTTTCGTTTTTGCCTTGTAATAAGACCACTCCGTACATACATACATATGCATGCATGTATATATAAAGTTACATAGTTTTTAGTGTCAAATTAAAAACAAAAAGAGAAATAAATGCGTTAATAAAAAACAACTAAATTCTTTGCGTTCAGCTACATTCTAGTTAGCTATATGTATATAAATACATAATCATATGTACATACATATGTATATGCATAGTGGCTTTAGTGATTTTCAAGAGAATCTCTCAATGTTAGCTCAGAAAGATTGCCGTTTGTAAACAAATCACACGCCGCGCAGTTTTATTTCCACTTTGGCCGAGTTCGTGTTTGTATGTATGTAAATGCGTCGATAATGTGTTTATGTTTGCTGGATTTATGCATGTTCGTATATATGTACATATGTAAGTCTCAAATGAATTTCACCACAAACCAGGTTTCGTCGTCGGAGCTTCTACAAGCTGCGCTTAGCTAAATGATATTTGACAATTGATCAAATGTGAAATATACACACACACACACACCGTGTGCACGTAAATAATATATTTATTAATTAATAATAAAATGTGAAAATATAAACTGTTGTGGCGATAAATGTAGGCATATTTTACCAACAAATATATGTACAAACATACATACATACACGTATGTGACAGGTGGTAGGGGTCACTGATTTTGAACTAATTTTGAGATTCTCTTTGTTTGCGAATTTAATTCCTTTTGATAATTTCTTAAAAATATACGTACATATTTATGCCAGCAGCTATTCTGTTTTAAAAAGTATCTATTCAAATAAAACTAGAAAATTAGCATGCTGTACGTAGGCCACGAATAATTATTAATGTATCTATGTTTGTAAAATGTAATAGTAAGAATATGGAAATGAACTTTGAGTTACAATGTGTTGTCCATTGCTAATTGCCACCTTAAAGGAGCACCTTTTAGTTGTAATCTAGAATGCTACTAGTTTGCTTTTTGAGACTGACTGGTTCTCTTTCCACAAGTCTTTGCAACTGCTCACTGACCAATTCTCCGACTGTAGATCAATATACTAGTAAAATACCAGTTCTCACATTAATTAGTCACTGCATTTTTACTGCAGCATAAAACAAGTTTTTTACCGCAACTTTGTTGAAATATATTTCAATCATATTTTTTAAAAAAGAACGTGATTTGATATACGACTTTTATTAGAACGTTTTCAAACAGCTCGAGCTTATGAACAACAAATACTCGCGCTTCAGTTCCGAGCTCATTACTTAAAAAGCTTATTAGCATGAGGTCGATCTTCTAGCATTTTGATCAAAACTGTTTGGAAATTCATTGTAATGCTAAGAACATTTTGATAAACAGAGAATTCGATTTTAGTACTCAAAAGTGATGGATTCTCTTTATAATTAATCGAATTACTGGGTATGAAATTTGTTTGTTTGATTTATTGTAATGTAAATATCAAATGCCATATTTGCTATAAAACAATAATAGCAACAATGCTACTAATAAATAATAATAAATAATAGCGTCTCAAGTAGCTGAAGAGCCAGTAGATATCGCATTGGTGCAATATTTATATTCGGGGTGTGTCAGATTGTTTGAAATTTGCACATTTCCTTGTTGATTAGGCATACTAATGTGTATGTATGTATGTATGTGTGTTTTTAACCACAGACTGATGCATGCACACGTATGTAGGAATGTTGCTTTTCCGCTGATTATTCAATTTTCAGTTAGCGATTATCTTATTTATCTTTTTAGTCTATATATGATGAGAAATATATTTTATTTATTCATTTATTTTACATTAAAGACAACTAGCAGATGGGACTTTAGGCCTGGAAATATATGAAATTTCTTAGTTGTTGATTGATTAATTACTTTTTACTTTTCATTCTCTTCTTCCCTGCAACCGTTTGACGGTTTAGTTCGAAAATAAAAAAATTCGCCAGTCTCATGTTTTCGTAGCAAAGATCCGCCGCTTGAACCACATATTGTTCCGAGGCGCCCTTGCTTTCGATGCCTACGCTACGCTGCTGAGCCTGAGCCTATGTACCAGAGTATCTTCAACCATGCGAACGACATGAACAGTCTACGAAGACGTTGAATATCTTCATTCGCTAGACTAAGTTTAGGTCATTATAGAGCTCAAATACATAGTTACTGGGTCAATTTTTATCTCTTACGAAGGCAGGACGATATACCTTGCACTAAATAGATCTCTTGCATGCTCCTAGAGCATTCTCATCTTTGTTCGTCATCGAGCGTTTTTCAGCTCCGTACTGTGACAAATATGATGAGAGATTTAAAGAAAGAGCGCTCAACTTTCATTCTAAGGCTAAAGCAGCATCTGTTGTTTGATCTTCACGCTGACGCTAGGTGGTCTTGGTGATGCTGAATGCTCTAATTAGCTAAAGTGCTTTACAACTTCGACACCTTTTGTTTTTTGCCAGACGTTACTTTGTGATGTCCTCCTTCAGTACCAGACCAACTGCTTTTGAGTCTTTCAGATCGGCCGCACACATTTTTTGCGCTCAACGGCATTCTACATAGCCGTATGAGATTTGTGGGTATTCAAAATTTAGACATGGCTTCGTTTTGTGCTATCAAGGGCAGCTTTAAAATCGATAAATAGGTGGTGGGTGTCGATTTGCTTATCCAAAGAGCTTTGATCTTTCAAACAGCAATGTTGATAGGACCTCACAGGCGACGTTAAGAAGTCTTATCCCATGATTGGCGCAGATAGATGAATCTCTTTTAATGTGGATTGTCCAAAGCAGATTAAGTTTTCGCTCTTTGGGCATAAAATGCTTGCCAGCAACTTAATCTCACTGTTTGCCTCTCGTGTCCTTGGAGAGATGCTTCTCTTCCTTCCTTCTCTTCTGGTATATTTATACCATAGAACGCGCTACAATTGTCTGCGGAGTTACTCGATATGCTACTTATTTCTCTGTTTTCCACTACACGGCACTCGTCGTCCATCCAGTGATTTATGAGTGAGCGATCGTAAGTATTGAGTGGGAGATATAATTCCACTGTACATTTATATGGGGGCGATAGGAAGTTGGTTGTTCAAGCTGGATTGAGAATGGTGTCCCGATGGCTTGGCAGGTCTGTTATGGTTGCTTGGTGAACGTTTTCGATTGCACAGAGTCGCGTGTGTTTCTTAGCTGCTACAAGATAATGGTCCGAGCCAATGTTGGCAACTCGGATTCACGCACACTCGAAGCATATCTACTGCTAATCACAACGTCTTTGATCAGGGGACATCCAAGAGATATTGTGGATTTTCTTATCCAAGTGCAGCGCTCGCAAGCTTTGTCTATGCGCTCGTAGAACTGATGAAATTTAGCTTTTATACGGATTGTGCCGACGAGGTGTCGTAATCTCCGTCCAACCACAAATCCTTCTCCAAATTTTCTTACTTTCTCATTATTATTTTAAATTGATCGTAAATACTTTCGGTTTGTTTCCATTCCAAAATAATAAAACACATATACAACGATATCGTTTGATTTTTTCTTCTAAACCACTTTTTCTTCTTTTAAACGAATAAGTAAAAAAGAGGTAGCATCCTTTAGGCCTACGCCTGCTGTCATCTCCGAAGTGCAGTGCGAGCAAAGTGGCAGTTAGCGATTATCTCTATGGCGTTGCCGATGCGTCTGTATTTACAACACGGCAGCGGAATGACATAACATACATACATATACACACGCGCATACTCATACGTAAGACCAACGCTTTTACGCGCTATCCAGTTTTTTGCCTCCACAAATCGTTATAGAATTTCAAAATTATGTTTGGTCCGGCACAGCAGAAATGCTTATGTGCGCCTACCATATTATTGCACCCAAGGGAACGTACGAGTATGCGAGTATGTTGCACACATCCAACCATTCGGCACCACTTCGGAGGCATTATCGCATGAGATTGTCAGTATAGCCCGCAGAAGTTTGTGTGTGCTTATGTTGCATGCCGCATATAGCCGAGTACAAATGTCATTTTGTCAACCAACAGTTGCACGGATAGGCGGCCGGTGGCGCGCGGTCGGTCTGTGTAATGCGTCTTTAAGAGCGGTGGCGAGCAAGCAGTCAGTGGTTAAATAATAAGCAGTTCATATTGTTTTTGTTGTTCCAGCTGCAATAACATTCGACTGCATCGTTCCTTGAAATTTCATTTTCCTTTTGTTGCCACATCGCAATGTTGCACAAACACCTGCAGACACTGCTTTGTATTTATGTACCAAAATCCACCACAACTCATTGACTCATTTCAGCTTTACAGAGCGCCCAGTGAACAACGCACAGTGGATGGACGGTGGACGATTGAAGATTAAAAAAGATTGGGATGAACTCTTTAGATTTTCACTGTAGGGTTCGAGTCAATGGGTAGGGCCATATTTTCCAGAAACTTATTAATAACCAAACTCCACCTTTACCCTCCTCGACAACAGGTCCAAGGCTATCTAAATGTACACTTTCTTTTGACCACTTTTCCACTTTTATACTGTGATGGAGGGTAAAGAGCTCAATTCCCAAACTTTTACGAAGAGGGAGAGCAGTTTGCTGCCTAGAGTAGGAACTTGAATGCTCTTACCCATCTGTTGGCGAGAAGGGTTTCTTCTGAAAACATTCAATCTGCAACGTGGTCTGTGAAAATTGTTTTTTTGGGGTTTTCCGTCTTAACACCATAGAAATGTCCCACTATGCATTGGGTTTGTGTGGATGCGTGCGGCAGCACATTTACCACTTTTGATATGTGACATTGCGACTCTACCGCCGCTGCCCGTTCGCAGCCTGTTCTCTATCTATTGGCGCAAGAACGCATGTTAAGATTGGCTATCTCTCTGAGAAGGAAACCGAAGCACGACGTGGTGGATGCTTGGACGTGCATCCGTATTAGTGGAACGCACGCAGTTCAAACAAGCAAGCCTAAGTGGGTTGCAGGTTCCTTGTTTTTTGGTTTTACTGCCGTTGTTGTGGTTGTTCAGTGATGTGGCATGCATGTGCTACGCGTCGGTAGTGACGAAAAATACCGTTTTAATTAGTTTGCCTTCGCCAGCGACCAAATGACCAAAGGCAGTTCTAGGCAATTCTTCCCCTTCTGCAGCCACTCTCCCAGCAGTCCTCCAGCGTCTTTGGTTGGTTGTGGCACAACAATGAAGATTAACTGCGATTTTATGGTCTTTGTGGCAGCAGCTTACTTTGACGTTGCTGCAATTTGCTATGCGTGTTTATTATACAACGGTGCGCCAGAGAAACCTTGCGCCGATATTAACACGCATGCACTTGCACATACACTTACATACACATGTGGACATTTGATCATTTGTAGAACTAGTTTGGACGACAGATGACAAACCAAAAGAGCCGATGCGTTCGTTGCTTGCGCTGGAAATCAGGAAGTATTTGTTGATGTTGCACTTGTTGTAACTTCGGTGTCCCTCTGCACTCTGCTTCTGGCCACAATGGCCATCGATGCCTTATGAGGTGGTACTGCTGACTCACTGCTCGGTGCGTCGTGCGTTGTTTGTGGCGTGACGAATGTGTCGGACATGAGTAATTGTTTTAAGCCCAAACGGACAGAGCTCTCACATACACACACTAACACTCGCACTCTCATACTCATACAAATTCTTGATATTCTCATTTTGTTTCGTTATTCATTTCCTTTTTATGGTTGGCAATTGGCTTCCGAATCGTTTCTGCTGCCTGCCACTAGCAATTATGTATGTTGCAATTGTTTGCCTCAAATGTTGCAACAAGTGTTGTGACATGCAACGTAATGTTGTAACTCTCTAGTCTCGACTTTTACTTTTTTATTGCTTTCTTTTAATATTTTTGAGTAATTCCCTTTCTTGATTCCTGCATCACTGCCAAATGTTGTAAGCTCATTGATTAATCATTCGCATCCGTCATGAATGTCTGCAATTTGTTTCGCCTGCCACACAATTATTTTTGTTGGACTGAGACTATTCTGGTTCTGATTTCGTTATGTGGAGACCAATAGAAACTTTGCTGGCAGTTTTGTGCTACTTCGTTACATAACGATGGGGTCCACGTCCGCTTTCATAATATATAACTCTTTATTCTGAAGGGGGTTCCTTAATTTTCACCAGGTATGTGAGGACGTATGGCTGATGATTGCGACTAGTTCTATTGAGAAGAGTAGTGGAATATGTAGGTCTCCACAGGTTCTTGGTCGATAGGCGATCTGCAGGACTTTAAAATCATAGATTATTTCCGCCAAAGTCGTTTGGAAGGTTATGTCAAGAAAAGAGGCGGAGTGGGCGCGGATGGTGAAAAAATTGTTTTCTTAAGCTCCACTTACTTTGGCAGTAAGCTCAAACTGTTTTCCCAATACGAACAACAGAAATATATTTCATGTGAGATCCCCAAAAGCGAAACTCCACACTGATATGCAGGTGGGGATAAGTCTGTAAGCACTCCGAGTGTATGTGATACCCACACCAGAAAATGGTAGGCTCCACACTGATACTACCCTTTTCTGTAGACCCATATATACTACAAGATTCAAATTCTTTATTTATTTTTTTGGCAGTAAACGTGCAAAATGAGGAGATGGTGAGCCCAACTCCACAAACAATGATGATGAAGAAGGCGTTTCAATACCTGAATATGAAGAAGTTCAAATAGCTCACTGTCAACAAACTGACTGAACCATATCGGCGTGACTAGGTGTTAACGATTCACCAAATCTTGAAAAATACCAGCCAAGCCAGAGGAAACTGAAGTCCTCGGCATTCCAATTGGCTCCAAACAGCGAGTGTAGGTACCATATTTCCAATAACTTCTCTTATTATCTTGATCTTACTAACGATAATGGCGTTAGAAAAACTAAGCAAATGAGCAAACAAATAAAGAGTAGCAATAAATGAAATAAAAGAAGTAAAAGTGTTGATCATGCATAGGAGACGGCGGTGGGGCGACGGTGGAGGGGCTACTAATCGCTGCTGCTTAGCTTGGAATGACTCACTTGTCGGTAATCAAAAACACATTAAACAAATGAGATGAAAATGTTTGAAGACAAAGCAATGCAAGAAAAGAAACCACAGAGGTCAGATTAAAATGCAATGTGCGGATGGTGGGCTGGTGGGCAAGGGCATACGCGGCTAATTACATCAGCGCATTGTTTGGGTAGAGAAATGAAAAAGAAAGTTCGCCAAAGTAAAAAAACGCGGGTTCGTTGTCGGATACAAAAAAAGTGTCCGAAAATAATATTGTAGTTTCTCATCAGACTACGAAATAGAAGATTCTTTTGATGATATTTTTTGAGATAGTTTGGACAGGAGTATACTTGGAAGTTTGTATTTTTTTAAAAAGTTTCTTCTTCTCCTTTATTGGCGTTGACGCCGCTTACGTGAATATAGTCGAATCAATATTAGCGCGCCGTCCACCTTCCCTTCGCTGTTTGGCGTCTGTTGGAAATACCAAGTGAAGCCAGCTCACTCTCCACTTGATCTTTCCAACGGAGTGGAGGTCTTTCTCTTTCTCTGCTTCCACCAGCGGGTAATACTTTAAAACTTGGAGAACTTTCATCCAATTGGATGATATGACCTAGCCAGCGTAGCCGTTGTCTCTTCATTCGTTGAACTATGTCTACGTCATCATATAACTCGTACAGCTCATTGTTCCATCGACTGCGGTATTCGCCGTTCCAATTTCGCAAAGGACCATAAATCTTACACAAAACCTTTCCCTCGAAAACTCCTCACGTCGACTCATCAGATGTTTTCACCGTCCATGCTTCCGCACCATATAGTAGGACGGGAACGTTGGGGGACTTGTAGAGTTTGGTTTTCGTTCGTCGGGAGGGGAATTTAATTTTCAATTGCCTTCTTAGTCCAAACTAACACCTGTTGGCAAGAGTGATTCTGCGTTGGATTTCAAGGCTGAAATTATTATTGGTGTTGTTGCTGGTTCCTATATAGACGAGACTTTTGTACGACCTCGAAGTTATGACCACCAACAATGACGTTGGAGCCAAGTCGCGAATGCGATCATTATTTGTTTGATGACCGGAGATATTTCGTCTTGTCCTCGTTCACTACCAGACTCTTTATCTTCGCTTCTTTATCAAATCTGGAGAGAGCAGAACTAACGCAAACGCCCAAATTTTTAGGCCTGTGATGCCGATATCATTGGCATACGCCAATAGTTGCTTTTAGTAATAAGAAAAATGCAAACACTGGAAAATTATGAAAACCCTAACAGAATTGACCGCCAGTTGCTGTGAGTTTCTGTATTTCGTACAATTTTTATTCTAATTGGTATTGCAAACACGATAAGAAACCCCAAATGAAGCATCATTTAAGTCAAATTATTAAGTTTCTCTTATATAATTGATCTGACTGTTTGTTCGTGTGTGCAAGTCACTTCTTCGCTCTTCAAAGCCGTTTTGAAAATGTCAAAATGAATGTCTGGTGGTAAGACACACACCATGGCGATCTATGATTTATGCCGATCTATTCGGAATCAAGTTGAACTTGCGAGCATACCCACGCACGCTCTATGCTTATATCCAAATCATATTAATTTTTGTCAATCTGTCGGAGATCCTTTCCCGTATACAGAATATTGTTTATATTTCGAGTGAATTGAACTTGGCCCAGGTCCATGAACCATTTCCAGGAATCATCCAAATTCATCCAAATTCATCATCTAAAAATTTCATTTAAAAGAATCCTGAACAGGTAGACCTACTTCCAGTAAAAGAAAGAATTTGAAGTAAAAGGAACCATAAATACGATTTTTCGAATAGGTTGGTCCCCAGTCTTCTAACCTAAGTACCGAATTTCAAGTAAACTAAACCATTTCAAGAGATATTATATTTTAATTATTTGAACATTTTTGTTAAGAAAATCAAAAAAGTTAATTAATTATTGCAAAAGGAAAATTCGAAAATTATTAATTCAATTAAAATAGTTTCGTATTAAAGCAACAAAAAATTACAAAAAAAAATTCTGAACTGATTTGAAAATTATAAAATTTTATAGAAATTGTGGCTTGGAAATAAACATTAATATTTCTCAAATAGCTTTGCAACGCTTTCGCTTTCGAATTCATCACGCAACAAAAGTGATCTTACACAGAGTACAGCGCTTCATACGTATATGGCCGCACGCATGCAACTTGCTACATATAATATTTATTTATAATTCAATGCTACATTTTTTACTATTGGACTCGAGTGCGTGTGTGTGTGCTACACTAATAATAACAACAACAAACACATTTATGGTTTCATAATAAATTCTGTATAATTTTTCACGCAATTATCGAAGCTTTTAATTAAAAACCGAACCAAACACACACACACACACACATATATATATATATATATATACATATAGTTGTATGTATGTGTGTGTGTTGGAGAATAGTAGATGTGTGGCAACATTGAATGACTTGCATTAAGTTGGCTGTTTTTGTTGTTGTTGTTGTTGTTGATAATGCAGAACTGGTTGCATGTTGCCGCCTATTAAACTTCCTCTGCAACTTTTTTCTCAACTTTTTTCCAACTAATTTTTGTTGCTTAGACATTTACCTATGTTCTTGCATTGCTGCGTAGCACAGCAGCTGCAACAACAATGAAAAAAGATTTACAACAACCAAACCATGTAGAACCGTAAGAATGTCAGGCTGTGTTGTTGCTGCAGAAACAAACAAATAAACAAACAAACAGCAAATGATGCAACTTCATTGTTTATAATCACTTCATGGCCATGCCCATTTGTGTTGTTTGTGGCCACCGCTCCTCGCCGCTCTTCACCGCACTTCACCGCTCCTAACAAATCCCATTTATCCGCTCTGCCGCTCTGCCGCTCTGCACTGTCGCAATTAACAATTGTGCGAGGCGAGAAAGAAATGTTTGCTATTTTTTCCAACGCATTATTATTTATTATTGCAATATTTAAAGAATGTTTTTGCTTTTTCTTACTTTTTACTACTAATGTTGTCATTATTATTTCTATCGCTATTTATTGTTGCTCACTGTTGTTGTTGCTTTGCTGTTGCTGTTGCTGGTAAGAAATGTTTGATTTACGTGCTGCTGATTATTCGCGATATTTGCGTTGAGTGGCGGTGAAAGTGTTGCAGTTAATTTTAAGAAAAATATTGACGGCCAGTGGGGAGATATTTTTACATACATACATACGTGTATGTATATAATTACAAGTCGCATTATTATTGTTCATTAATGTGGATATTTAGTGTAGATAAATAGAAAGTCGAAAAGAAACTAAGACATTTTGTATTTGCATACACTTTTCAATATTTTCTAATAGAAGAAATATGCTTTCCATTCTTTTCATATTAAAATCATTAAATTACTAATTTAATATCACAAGCTAAGTTACCACCGAAAACTAGCAAAACTTATTTCAAATTTACAATTTTATGTACTTTTCGTATCATCCTAACACAATAATTAACGAAATTGTTGTATTATATTTTTAGAAAAAGAATTTACTTGTAAAATTGTAAAATTTTAAAGAGTTTCTTTTTCTTGTTTTTTTTCATTTTATTATATCTTACATCCTCATATGAGGATAATACAAATTAACCTCCACAAGTCTAAGATGACCTCAGCGGCTTTAATACATCGCCTTTCTAAAGACTGAGGCGGTCCCCATCCATGAACCTTGGGTGGTAAACTCAAGGGTACGTGGCTTGGGGGCCATCGATTACAAGCTAGTTCCAACGAATAACGAAGATAACATAAGATGAAGTATATTGACTATATCTTATTCCTAATTGCCGCGATGGCTACGCTACGGCAGCTGTCGTCAATAAAGAAGTAAGCATGTTTTGGCTTGCATCAGTCTGCATGCCGTATGATGCCGTCGACCCTTTTCAGATCACGGATCGATACCTCGTGGAAGAAGCAGCAATGAGCTTTACTAATCGAAACCGATTCAAATTCCCACCACACTTAATGAGGCAGTACAAACATTAACAAAAGAGGTGAGTCACTTTTCAACTATCTCCTATCTACAAATCTAGGAATATGTAACAGAGGGAGGCCTCCAACGTTTATTAATAAAAACCGTGAAGAAGTCATAGATCTAACACTATACTAGACACTAGATATATACCCTTTAAAAAGAGGTGACATGTCCAATGTTATAGGATTTCTGACAGGCTACTGTCTGATAGGACGCCACGCTCCTAATGAAGGTGCTGCAGAAGCTGCATGGAGGATGAAGAGGAGGAGACGATCACCCATCTCTTATGCGACTGTCCTGCTTTGAGAAGGGCGGGGTTTTGTAATATTAGCACCCTGTTGCTAGGTGATGTTATGGATTTAATGAGGTTCATTAGGGAATCAAAATGGACGGAGGATGAAACCTGATGGTTTAAGTTTTTGTGGTATCCCATAGACCCATTGTGTCAGGCCTAGGTGAATCCGCCTTGACAGATCGGTAGCCACTGCAACCTAACCTACATCTGGCGGCTGCAGTTGCCAACTAGTTTGCATTGCATACACATCACATCCTCTTTTCGTCCTAACATCCAAAAGAGCTATGGAAAATTTATTTAAAATAAAAAAATAATTTAAATTTTCTAGACGCGGTCGCCGCTCGACAGGGATGTCAACTTTCTTAATTCAATTTCAATATTACTCTTATTTCTAAATTTTTAATTTTTTTTCCATGAAAAATTTTAAAGAAACCGCAAATATGTTTACAACAAACTGTTGCTGCTCAGAATGTCTTTTTTCGCAAGCAGAGCCGGAAAGCTCAAATAAATATACGAAGCTCAGTTCC